AGTTCTCGGTCCACATACTGCTGAAGCCTACCTTGGAGGATCTTGAGCATAACCTTGCTAGCGAGAAACATATACACTCTTCAAAATCTCAGGTCATCTAATGGTGTCATGCCTGCTCTGCAAAATGCAGGCTAGAAAAATCTGTTCCAATTTTCAACCCTTTTCTTGGGGTAGGAAACTTAAAGAAGAAAAACTAGACTAAGCCAAAAACTCTACAAACATGTTGTGTGCATGTTTTCCAAAAGAATATAGCAATCTTTTCAAAAAAAATTTAAATTTGAACTTTGAGTATCGCTTGTATGCAAAGTTAATGCAATGGTGTCATTTTACTGCATTCTGTGGCATTTTTACTGCATTCTGTTGTATTAGAATGTATATCTAATGTTTACAGTCTGCAGACCATTATTTTGTTCTCCATATTCCTTGACATATTGTTAAGATTTTGATAGATTCAAAGGACCAAATTATTGCATGCATACACACACACACACACACACACACACACTTAATAGAAAAATCAAAGGTAGCTGCATGAATAGAAAGTACAATTTCAAAAATCATATTAGCAATGTATTAGTTACTTTATTAGAAATTATTTTATTGAATATAGATTTCAAAATATTTACATAAATACAGATAAAAATAAACATAAACGCAGACAATATGTAAGAAGTCTGCCCATTTCGGAGAACCCTTGCTGGAGAACCATCTCTGGAACAGATTCCACTGAGAAGAATATTCAGATACCCTTCAGAAGGGATACATTATTCGCCCACAGGCAAAAAAATAAAATTGTTCACGGGCCAGGGTCAGCTACCGTCTACCTGCTTCTAAGACCGTCGAAAAAAATCTTGCTGCAAGGTACAGAAAAAGAGGAGCCGCACTCCTGCTTATGACACCAGGAAAGAAGACAGAAGCGAAAATGCTCTGTTATCTATTGGAAGAATTTCCCCGTCTACGGCATGCACGAGATGGCTTCGCTACCTCCTCCCACGCGCATGCCCTCCTCGTTGCTGGGCTTTAAAGTCACTGCCCTGGAGCGCGGCTCCCCCCTCCCCACTTTTCGAAAAAGCCCCTTTCCGAGGTTCTGAAAAGGGGCGGGGATTAAGGGCCAGCACGGCCGGAAATGACGCCACATGCGCGGTGTAAACAGTTTGGCGAGACCCTGGTAACGGAGAGTTCGCTTCTCGGGCCATCAAGTTCCTGCTTCTCACCGCTGCTGCTTCTCCCTCAAACACCCCCTCCCCCCCCGCCCGCCTTCCTTCCTTCGCTCGGCGTCGGGAGGAGGAGGGGGAGCCCCGTGGGCGCAGCGAGAGGGCGGGAGGCGCTCGGCTCGGGCTCCCCCCTCCCTTCCCCCTCCCTCTCGCGGTAACGGAGAGTTCGCTTCTCGGGCCATCAAGTTCCTGCTTCTCACCGCTGCTGCTTCTCCCTCAAACACCCCCTCCCCCCCCGCCCGCCTTCCTTCCTTCGCTCGGCGTCGGGAGGAGGAGGGGGAGCCCCGTGGGCGCAGCGAGAGGGCGGGAGGCGCTCGGCTCGGGCTCCCCCCTCCCTTCCCCCTCCCTCTCGCGGGACCTAAAAATAAAGGGGGCCGCGGGGGGGGCGCCGCTGTTGCCGGGGGGGGAAGGGGCTCCTCGGAACTTGGCACAGAGCCCCGAGGCGGACCCTCTGAGGAGCGGAAAGGGGGGGGGTTGACGTTTCTTCACGAGAACCGGAGGCTGTCTGCCTTTTTCTTTTCCTTTTGATTCCCCTCTTCTTCCTCCTCCCCCTCCCCCCCGCAGCGTGTCTTTTTTTCCCTTCTTCCTCCTCTCCTCGCTCTCAAATCCCCCTCACTCCCCTTTTCCTCCACCTGGGCTAGGACGGACAGAAGGGCGAGTAAGGAAAGGGGTTGGGGCGCTTGGTTGTCTCCCCCCCACCCCCACCCCATAACAAAAACCACACAGAAGGCGCAGGAATGACAAATCGAGCCGAGGGGGAGACGCGGTGAGGGCTAGGTAGTGTGTGTGCGTGTGCGTGTGTGCGTGCGAGCGAGCGAGCGAAAAGGTGACTGAGGGGTTTAAATAGGTATTTGGAGCTGCCCCCTCCCTCCCTCCTTGCCTCCCTCCCCGTCTCCTCCCTCCTCGCCACAGGCACCGGCTTCCCCGTCGCTTCTCCCGCTCCTTCCCCTGGGTTTCCCCCCTTCACCCTCGCCGCCGTCCTCTTCCTCCTCCTCCTCCTCCCGGTGCCTGGCAGATCGTTTGACAGGGTCTCTTCGTTGTGGAAGATGGCGACACCAGGGATGAGTTGGCAGCAGCACTATTACGGCGGCAGCTCCTCCTCGGCCAGCGCTGGGAAATTCAACCCGTCCTCGTCTTCCTCGGCCGTCGCCTCCCAGCTCGGCATGGAATATAATCAGGATCTCCATCTCAAAATGAGCAAGAAAATTGCTCAGCTTACAAAGGTAGGATGGCTTCTTCCATCCTCTGAGCCTCTTTGCCTCCCTCCCTCTCTGTCTTGGCGGTAGCTCAATTTCACATGCATGTTTGCTGTTCTTTTCTTACCCCGATTTCCCCCATTTGAGCTTAAACATGTGGAAACACAGGACTTGGATGCACTGACCTCTTATACATGCCTAAATTTCTTCACTAAAAGGCTATATTAGTTTCACATTGGGTATATTATGTCACTTGTCACAGAGATGCTCTGGTAGATCATATGATGTCTTTCATACTATAGTTTTCTCCATGTCTCATTGATGTAGCAAGTGCATAATAGAGAATGGCCTTTGAATGGATGCATAGAATGACTGTTGCAATCCTGCACATACTGACTTGATACCAAGTACCATGAAACACAGTGGGGTAAACCTGCATAGGATCAAGTTGTGTGTTTGTCTTCTGTCTCTGGAATCCAGTGACATACTGACCTGTGCTTTTTAATTATTCTCTTGTTATATAGCACTGTCTGTCTTAAGATTGTGCAGCATGCATTTGTTACTTTCACTTAGGAATAACTTTCTTCTAACTTCTTTTATACCACTTTCTGCACAATAGTTTCACAGAATCATATGAGATAAAATATAATTGCTAGTTAGTATGCTTATAACCTGTTTCAAAGGACAGACCTGCTGTTCATTAAAATATTTTACAAGATTAAAACAATAAAATAATAGAAATAAAAGAAGTGGCAGCACAGCAAAACCATATGAAATCAGGGATAAAAATGTTTTTCAAAGTTCTCTTGTTTTTAATCTTGTTTTGCAATCGGATGTAAGTAAAATAAAGACCAGCTGAGGCTGCAACTACATGGTCAAATACCGTGTGATTTCCTTTGCAAATAAATTGGGTGAATTTGAAGTTATTTTTTTCACTGAATCATATGACACAAAGGCTGATTTGAATTGGTCCAGCCCTTTTTGCTCTCAGAGTATCTTTGTCTGCCTACTTTTTCAAGCTGGAATGATTTAAATGGGCTTTCCCCCATGATTTTATAAAGACAGGGTTGAAACATGTCTGTAGGTAGTGTTTTGCTGACATAGCAGTTGGTACAGGAACAGGGGAAACACACCCCTACATTCTTCATCTGCCCCAATCAACTTCTGAATTTATTTTTTTTAATGTGTTACATATATGAGATTAGAACTAGATCACAGTATCACCTTACTGGGTCATCATTATTATTTCTCATATTTCTCATATTTATGCTCCCATCAGTTGCCTGTCAGATCGGCAGAGGTGGGACCGGAGGAAAGAAAGAAAGAAGAGGGGCTGTGGCCTGGAATACAAATCACATTACATCCAGTATGAACAGTGAACTTCCAAATCAACCTACAGTCCCTGTGTGTCAAAACAATAACAACACTGATTGTGATTTCAAACATAATATGGCCTGCAAATCCAATCAGTGTAGTTGCATCCAGAAATAGATTTTCAGAAAGCCAACATGAAGATATGTGTTCAATTAGTTGTTACAAAGGTTTCCATAATCTTGTATTTTACTCATCCTGAAATGTGTGCAATTTAGACAACGTAGGGCAGAATGCTCATACTTCAGTTGGGTGGATTCGGTTTTATATTAAAATGTATGCATATCAAACTAAAATATACTGTATTAGCTCTGTTTATTAAGGTTTATTACTGTGGCTGAAATCCTTGCTTAGCATAGAAACTTGCTACTCAGGTAGGCCCACTGAATTATTGAGTATTTGGTGAGTCCACTCCTCTGTAATTTCCCTTGCTTTTAATGGACCTATTCTAGTTGTGACTTAACATGCTAAGCAACAGTTCAGACTTTGTGTGCTAATAAACCTGTGAAGGCCTGATACTGTTTAGCAAATATGGTTAAGAAAAAAGGGTACCTAATTTAAGTTCAAATAAGTATTTATGTGTGCATATTATAGAGGATATGATATCATAATACTTGGTTCCTAAATATGCACATACACACATGGTCATCCTAGTGACAATTGACCATGATAAAGTTCTCCAATATAAATGTGTACAGTCCAGTGTGCCTAGTCATAAACGATCAAAATCTAAGGTCTGGAATTGTTGAGTAAAAAGTCCATTCAAATGTAGTCAAAGTCTTGGATCCTTGGGGTAATTGACAAGCTCCGAGCATAAATAATTGTCCACTAAGCTTATATATTTTCCTAAAGTGTCTGAACACTCTGGAAACCTGGATAAGATGCTCAGCTGGTTGAAGGTATTTTGTTGCTTATAGTGGAACATCTAATGTCACTACTAGAGATGGGGGTATTCGTAATCAAAATCTACAAGAAGTAGATGGGGTGGGCAAGTAAATTACTAATGATTTATTTTGTCACTGACGTATTTTTACTGCCAAGGATATGAACAGGTCCTTGTAAATCAAAATAATGTGGACTTAAGTACTATGCATCTTGGCCAGTGGAGGTAGTGACTAGAGATGGGGGTATTCATATTTGTATACGAATATGAATACCCCCTCACAGGTGCAGGTAACGAGGGTCCACTCCCCTGGGGCCAGACCGACCACTCACGATTCTGCTGCTGCAGCTGGCTCCATGGAGCCTTCCTGTTGCTCCGTCGCTTGCGATAGATTAGCCAATCCTGACAGAAAGCAGGATGATGATCCTCTCTGCCAGGTCGCAGAGTGGCTAATCCATCGCAAGCAATAGAGAGATAGGAAGGCTCCATGGAGCCAGCAGCAGTGGTGGATCTCCACCTGTGGGGGGATATTTGTATTTGTATACGAATATCCCCATCTCTAGTCACTACCTCCACAGGCCAAGATGCATAGAACTCAAGTCCACATTATTTCGATTTACAAGGACCTGTTCATATCCTTGGCAGCAAAAATACGTCAGCGACAAACTAAATCATTAGTCATTTACTTGCCCACCCCATCTACTTCTTGAAGCTGCCAAATCACTCTGCCTGACAGTAGAGCTGTCTCTGATTATTATCGGCCTTGCTATTGTATAACAGGGCTGCTTTTATTCAGCTATGAAGTGTTGAGATAACTTTTTGACTTCACCTTCATGTCATTGAAAATACCTGGATCCTTTTAAAAAGCAGTTACTGAAAATACTGAATTTGTATGTGAAAGAGAAATTAGAAAACTGACTTGCACTTCTCTTTCTCCCACCCCCAGTGTAGATCTACAGTGTAGATGCCACAAGCTTAACACTGGAGATGAGTTCCAGCAGGGTTTTAGGCTTTATTACTCAGTTCTGAGTTTTGAGAGCTAAATTCCATTTGCAAAGCACTGAAAGCAGGCTGCCATCCAGTTCAGCATATATTCCTTCTGAGCTATGTCTCTTTGCTGTTGAGGGTCTTTTAGATTCAGCACTGAAGCCGTAGTCTCTGATAGCTTTTCCTCTGCCACCAGCAACTGCAGGCAGATTCAGAGGAACTTAGAGAGCTCGTTTGTTGTGTTTTGCCCTGCATTTTCTGAGATGATATAAAGCTGTGTCCTTGAGAGAAGGAGGAGAAGCAGCAGCCCTTGGCTTTCTAAATTGTATGCATCTTTAATCTGACTGTATTTGCCGTTGCCCACTAGAGAAGGATGAGCAGCTGTTGCCAGATTAAGGCTGCAGTCCTAAGCATGCTTATGAAGATGGAAGCTGCACTGAGCTCATTGTGATTTAGTAGTGCAACTCTAAATATGTTTACTTTTAAGTAAGTGATGTGTGAATATTAAACACTGTACAGAGATATTAAGAATATAGGCTTTATCTGCTGCGTTTGAATCTTTAAAATGGAAAGAAGGGACTAAAACTTTTATTTTTAATTAAATCACAAGGGTGTTTTTTGTTTGCTTGTTTGTTTGCCTGTGCTTCAAAGTACTGTAAATCTGTTACAACAATTTAGAAATCTTTCACCAGACTAAAGCCAGGTTCTGAAGCAAGCCAAGTTCAATACAAATGATACTTATTGGTGACATACTTTGACTGGAGTGAAACAGCTACATATGCATTGTGAAGTGCCTGTAAATGCATGTGCAATCTCCACCAAGAGATTTTTTTTCAGTGACTGCTTCAAAGTAAGCTTTTCTAGGTAGTGCTGTCATATTACTTTGTCAACAGATCCTTTAGTTCTACATTAGCAATAGTAGAAATCCTTATGCAAAGAACCAAAAAAGTTTGAACAATAGTTAATTCCCTTCATAAGGTGTTTGGAGGGACGTGGTGGTGCTGTGGGTTAAACTGCAGAGACCTCTGTGCTGCAAGGTCAGAAGACCAGCAGTCGTAAGATCGAATCCACGTGACAGAATGAGCTCCCGTCGCTTGTCCCAGCTCCTGCCAATCTAGCAGTTCAAAAGCGTGCAAATGCAAGTTGATAAATAGGTACCACCATGGTAGGAAGGTAGCGAAGTTCCATGTCTAGTCGCGCTGGCCATGTGACCATAGAAACCGTCTACAGACAAACACTGGCTCTATGGCTTGGAAATGAGGATGAGCACCACGCCCTAGAGTTGGACACGACTGGACTAAATGTCAAGGGAACCTTTACCTTTACCTAAAGTGGTTGGATTCAAACATTTTAAAGCACATTTTTGCTTGTAGAATGGACTTTCCCTCAATCTTTGCACTTTACAGTCCTTCAACCACTGTATGTTCTCGTGAACTGGTGGATCCTTGGGAATATCATGTGCAAGTGCTGCTGGAGGAAAAATCTGTGTGACGTATGACCCACAGAAGCAGACATTCCTTCTCTTGTTGAAGCATATTTCAGGATATACCCCTAATGTGGATCTTCAGCCTATGTGCCAATGATAATTTCTGCATATAGCCATGAATAAATGGTTACTCCGGGAGGCAGTAGAAGATAGAAGGGCCTGGCGTGGTCTGGTCCATGGGGTCATGAAGAGTCGGACACGAGTAAACGACTAAACGACGAAATGGTTACATGCTTTGCCATCTCAAGGCTACATGAATGAAGAGGATTCATGTTTGCTAGATGTAAATAATAGTTTCACTCAGTGTCCCCCAATACTTCAACTTCAAACACTTCCATATTTCATTAGTGTTTCTTTGTTTGGTGTGTGATAGGGAAAGGGGAGGGGAATACTTTAGTTAAAGAAGACATCTTGGTTCTTTCCATTCCCAGTTTCTTTGGAATGGAAATAATGGCTACTTGCCTGAAATATAACAAACATTATTTCAGAGTGAATACCTTCTCTACATGAAAATAGTTATGACAGAGTTTGTTCTTTTTTTTAAAATGGTAGTCTGTCTTTAATGAGTGTAGACACTTCTCCATAGAGCAGTTTTGAAAGAATAATTGCATTAGACTGCAGCAACCATGCAAAAAAACACCATGGGATCTTGAGAGAATGACTATTAAGATAGCAGGATCTTTAGTCAAGGGGTGAATTGGATTAAGAAGTTGGAAGATAATTTTTGCACATGATTTGTCTCTAATGCACCATGATATTCTTTAGCTTTCTTTGGTGCTTACTGAATCACAGGTAAATGTGAATGCAGAATGTAAAGTTGCTTTAGTAGATCACAATTAGCAGATAACTGTCTCAAGACTCTTTGATCCTTAGCATTATTGTGTACATCTTTTCTGGTGAAGGAATTATAGATTTGTTAAAACTCTGGAGGAAGACACTATCCCCAATTCATTGCTAGTTAAATGAAGTGGTTTTTCACTTTGAAAAACTTGATGAAGTACATTTTCACCTTCTGTTGTTCTATTGTATTATGAATTTATTGTACTGTCTATAAAGTATATTTAGTTCCTCACTCATGTAACATTTTCTTTATGCAGAATAATTAGATTTTATAATATATCCTTGTCAGCTCTGCTAATTACTTACTTTTCAGAGGCATTAAACATTATGTACTTTATATGTATAACACAGGTAGACCAAAATATGAATCAGCAATTTATTGAAAATAAAAGTTAACTTGTGATCTGGCGTCTCTTGTGAATGTTTAGATTTCTGATTTGTTTTTAGAAAACTTGTGCAAACTATCTAGTTCCCCAGGCAATACTAAAATATTTATCTGTGTGCCTTGATGTTTTCTTCCGTATGTTAACAGTGATTTTATTGATATTAATATAAGACCATTTATCTTGTACAACTCTTGACTGTCTTCTCAAATAATATTGGAAAGTCCATGGTATTTGTCCCTCCTGCTTTTGTTACTAAATCATATTCTAAATTGGTTTAGTTTATGATTTGAACCACTTTGAGAATTTTTAAACCAAATCCTAAGTTAAAAATGTTTTTCAATTATTATTAACACTGCAAGATATTTAAATATTTATATAATCTGATATTATCTTCCTCAGCGACTGTTGCTGCA